TCCCCCTTTCTTTTTTTTTTTTTTTTTTCCCCTTTTCTTCCTCCCTCCCCCTTCTTCCCCCTTCCCCCTTTCCCCCCTTTTCCTTTTCCTTCCCCTTCCTTCCTTCCCTCCCTCCCTTCCTCCCTCCCTTCCTTCCTTTTTAGAGTTGGGGTCTGGCCATGTTACTCAGGCTGGAATGCAGTGGCTATTCCCAGGTGTGCTCATAGCTCGCTGCAGCCTGGAACTGGCCTCAAGCAATCCTCCTGCCTCAGCCTCCTAAGTAATGAGACCACAGGAGCCCACCATTGCACAGGCTCAGGGGTTCTTCAATAGTAGTAATTCAGGGTACTTACTGCTCTAGTAGTCTCCATTCTTCTGGGGAAAGGGAAGATAGCTATTAAAACTCATCTGATCTATTTGTACAGAGTTAACTGCTGGTGTTCAAAATCTACTGCAGACTTAAGAGTAAACATTCCTCCTATTAAGATATTTTCCACAATTTCCAAAACAAAATGTGTGCGAAAAGCCATTATGTTATTTATACCCAAGATGAATATGTTTATATGAAAAACATTTATATGATTTTCAGTGCCTTCAAATTCAAAGGGCCGAGGGTCTTCCTTGGGCATAACTGCTAGATCTATCCTGTCATTCTCAAGCTCGTCTCTGGCTCATTCTCTGGCTGTAAAGACAGGCTTCTCAGCACTTACCTGTTTTTCCTGTCACCAAGACCCAGCTCTTCCGAGAGATTCCCAACCTTTAAACCCCTAGCCTTCTCTTCCATAATCTTAAAGCGTATCTGCTACGTAGAATAAAGACTAGGTAGAATAAAGACCTCAGGCAGGGAAACAGCGCTTCCTGCGCTCCTCACGCCTTCCTTATGGAGGATTTCTTCCTCTATTTCTTCTTCCTGCTGTACTCAAATCCAAATACCTCTCGCTACCGTTGCTCCCTGCTTCCTGCTTCCAAAGGTGCTCAGGAATAAAAGGCAGCGCCTCACTCGGGGTCACTAGACATTCTGACATTCCTGACCAAAATATCTGGAGCAGATTGCGAGGGAGACAGCGGGCAGAGTCCTCTCCTGGTGTGTTTTGCAGAAGCCTGCGGGGACCGCTGCGTCAGTGGATTTGCTTTGTTTCACTCCAGCCACGGATCGGCGGACAGCGGCACCCAGAGGCCCAGTATGATATCCACCGCAGGTTAGTTTTCAAAGTCCTCACAAGAGACTATATTGGCTTTTTTCCGGAGAATTATTTAGTAAGAAGAATGCAAATCATTATTTTGGATAAAATATTAACAAAATGCTCATTTCATAAAATTTAATTCAAATGTTTTAATTTATTAAAATTCTTATTTATTTATTTTTGAGACAGAGGCTCACCCTGTCGCCCAGGCTGGAGTGCAGTGGTGCGATCATGGCTCACTGCTCACTGCAATCTCCCCCTCCAGGGTTCAAACAATTCTCCTGCTTCAGTCTCCCGAGTAGCTTAGATTACAGGTACTCACCATGATGCCCGGCTGATTTTTGTATTTTTAATAGAGATGGGGTTTCACCATGGTGGCCAGGCTGGTCTGGAACTCCTGACCTCAGGTGATCCATCCACCTCGGCCTCTCAAAGTGCTAGGTTTACAGGCGTGAGCCACCGCACCCAACCTAAAATTCATTAAAATTCGACTTAAGAATCCTTACAAAATTTTTTCTCTTGACATTTCCTTTTCAAGACGACAGACTATTAAAACTTATTTTCCATAAAAATGGCCACTTAAGAAATTATCCACTGTAAAAAAAATTATAAAAAATTCTCATTGTAAATTCAATACATTAAGGGGGAAATTTTCACAGTAAAAGGTAGAAAACGCTGATAAAAATGTAAAATTATTAGTAACTGCATTATATAATTACTGATATAAAGAATTTATATTTGATGCCTATCTATACTTTAAAGATAGATATATACTTTTACAATTCCAAAAGTAATCATCTCTTTTATGGATATTTTGGTTGCTCGTGCCATTTTTCCTCTTAAACAGTTCCTTTTAGTTTAGGTGTTCACCCTTCATGTACCTAGGGAAGAAGAACCTATTCAGAGCTGTAGTAGGTTCTGATAAATTTAATCTAATAATGGTAATCTCATCCTCTTGACCATGCTTAGTTAGTAATATAGACTTAAAATAATAACTTAAAGCAGGGCTTCTCAATCTTGGTACTATTTTGAGCCATATAAGTCTTTGTGGTGGGGAGCTGTTTTGAGCCTTGTAGAATGTTTAGCAATATCCCTGGTCTCTATGTACTAGATACCAGTAGGACCCACCCCCACAGTTGTGATAACCATAAATGTCTCCAGACTTTACCAAATGTCACTTCACCTTCCCCCAAACATTTTCAGAAACATAGGCTTAGGGTATTTCCCTAGTGAGTATTACTGAGCCAGGAATAAGAACATGGCCTAAGTTAGTCCAATTGGATTGAAAGACTGCTGCCGGGCGCAGTGGCTCACGCCTGTAACCCCAGCACTTTGGGAGGCCGAGGCGGGTGGATCATGAGGTCAAGAGATCGAGACCATCCTGGTCAACATGGTAAAACCCCGTCTCTACTAAAAATACAAAAAATTAGCTGGGCATGGTGGCGCGTGCCTGTAGTCCCAGCTGCTCGAGAGGCTGAGGCAGGAGAATTGCCTGAATCCAGGAGGCGGAGGTTGTGGTGAGCCAAGATCGCGCCCTTGCACTCCAGCCTGGGTAACAAGAGTGAAACTCTGTCTCAAAAAAAAAAAAAAAAAGAAAGAAAGATAGACTGCTTGAGGAGAGTCACTCTCTTGTCACAGACAAGGAAGAAAGTTCTCGAGTTATTGCTGCTGGCTGGTACCTTGTGAGTGCAGCCTTTGGAATTGTACAAAGAGAGGAAAGCAGAGCTGAAAGCATAATAGAAAAAGCATAAATAACTGCTCATTCTTCAAAATTAGGAAGAAAAAAAAATTTGTGTTATACCATGATTGTATCAAGCCTAGAGGCAGTTAAACTTCTAGATCTGCACTGTCCACTAGAGTAACCACCAGCACATGTGGCCACTGAGCACTTGAAATGCAGTTAATCCAAACTCAGATATGCTGTAAGTGTAAAACACACATTAAGTGTTGAAGCTTTAGTACAAAAACAAGAATGTAAAGTGTATTATTAATATCTTTATTGTCAAGACATGTTGCAATTATATCTTAGATATATTGGATTAAAGTTATTGAAATTTCACTTGTTTCTTTTTGCCATGTTAATGTAGCTACTAGATAACCTAAAATCACATTTGTGGCTGACCGTCTGTGGTCCATAGTATATTTCTATCAGACAAAGCTGCTCTAGACTACCTGTTTTTTGAGATGATAGATTTTCTTACTGTTTAAACCACTGTAAATTAGATTTTAATGTGTTTCCTATAAAAAAAATCTTGATAGAGGAACTGCTAAATATTTTTAATTAACCTTTTTACCTTAAAATATATGGTGATATAGCAACATATACACTGGCTTTTCTGTGGTGTTTGCTATTTCCTCACTCCTATAATTTTCTGCCTCCTAAATATAAGCAGGATTTCTCCCATTACCCATAATTTAACCTCTAAAGTATAAGCAGCCCTTTAAGTAAATAGAAAATGTATTAAAGGGAATTTTCAAACCTACAGGATTATTAGTAACCCGAATGTCACACTCCTTAATCACAGGTAGGAAACCTTTGGAGGACTTGTTCCCACATCGGGGAGTTTATTGCTCTCCCCAAATCTTTTGTTCACTAGTATCACAGATATTCCATAGAACAACCACAGGAGTGTAATTCATCAATTTAGAGTTTTTCTGAATGTCTAATGAATTTTTTTTAAACTGGATTTATCTGTAGACATCCTTTTTTTTTTT